ATTCAAGAACTTATTTTTGACAATTTATTGTTGTTGAGAGTTTCTAGCCTTGCCTAGAGAGGCACTTTGTAATTAATCTTGACATTTCAATAGTGTGAGTTTTCTAGCAGACTAAAAGTCCTGTGGTTTTTCTGTTTTCCACATTAAAAGTGTGATGTCTTGAGCTTAGTTCACAAGTACTGTAGATGTAGCAATAGATTTTTGTCTTTTAACATCGAAGAAATAGATACAATGTATTTAATTTATTTAATATTTATTTCAATCAACTTTTTATATATTTTTAAAATAATAAAAAAAGAACCAAAAGTATATTTTTAATTTTGATTATTTTCTATTCAATTGCAAAAGAGAAATGAACAATTTTGGCGAGCCTTCTCTTAACACGCTAATATCCACATGGACCGGTTTTTGAAAGCTAGAAAAGCCCACCTAAATCTTCATGATCCAGGCCCAAGCTTGAGTTATTACCATCAATACCTAATTATTTGATTATAAGCTTCCACGAAGGGAATGATCTATGATTTCCTGTAGTTGTTTGAAAAAAAAATAAATAAATAAAAGATTAAAATCATTAATACATTTATTTCAATAAAATATTGAATACTCTGAACCCAAGAGGTTAGGCATTGTTTCGATCTAGAACAGCCAGGCTGACTGGTCTTTCATTTCCAATCCTTCTAACCACACCTGTTGTACATGCATCCAGGTAAACTCATGTGAAGCATCACACTCCTAGAATCCACAAATCAATCATCTCAGCAAATAATTTTTAGTAGTCGGTTTACATATTATAAAGTTATATCTTCTTTTTACCTTTCACACTTATCTTTGTAGTTGTTGCACAACAGTGCCGCTCTTCACCTACAAAAGTTAGCAAGTCAACTGAATGCACAAGAAGATCAATAGACACAGCTCAGTGTTGGTGACAGTTTGAACAATAGTGGCGTACAAATTCTGTAAACATGAGCTACCTTGTAACCAGTTGGCTACTTATATTAGGAGTAACGGCTTATATTTGAACTTGGAACTTCTCTTTTCTAAGAAATATGTGTAAAATGAAGTATTTGGATGACAAGTTAATCCTTAAGAGCACTATTCCTGGGATTCTTGGAATGCTCTGTCAATATGTCATCCAAGTTTTTTACACAAAGCTTAAAACAATGATTTGCTCTGGAGCAACATTTAACAGATTTGAAGAGCCTGCCATGGATTGGTCTCTATAAATAAAATAAAAAGGAAAGCAAGGAAGGGCTCAAAAGCAAATACGTTCACATGCAAATTCATAATAAATGCAGTTACTCTGATATATCTAAGTTGATATCTAAGTTGGAGAGACAGGCAGTTACTCCCATATCCACAAAGAGATGAATGCTAAAAAGGTGCATAAATAAATGCAGATATGACATCCCGTTTAATTAAAAAGAAGCTGAATATAGAAGAATATGAAGAAATCTCACCAGATGAGACACACTCCCTTGGTGGCGATTTAGCCTAATAAATCGAAATGAAATTACGAAATTGAACTGGGTAATCCTTCACCTTTCTAGTATGGTTCAATTCGACCTCAAATCTTTTGAATGTGACTATTAAATCTCTAAAAGTATACTCTCAAGCTTCGAAAATCAGAAGACAACTAGAACATTTTCATTACAAATTCACAATCGCGTTTCAAATTTTAATCAAACAAATTTTCTTGATGAACGGAAAAAATTCAAAATTGAGATAATACAGAGAATCGACATTAAAATTGAATACACATAAAAACGACAAAAACAAACAGCAATCACAAATCGGCATCTCAGAACAGACAACCAACAAAAACAAACAGGAAAGAGTCTGGAATTACACGGCAAAAAAAAAAATAATAATAAAAACTTTTTCCGTTTCCTTTGCAGTTTCAACCAATCATAACAAAAGGTATTGAAAAATCGAAACCAAGAATCGGAGGACCAAACCGATCATCAGCAGGTGAAGTAGAAAATCGGGTGGAGAATAAGGTGGAGGACATAGAGCAGGCGCAGGAGATGGAGAAGAACACCGCACCGTAGACAATCCTCAATGCCATTTCTGAGATTAGAGCTTGAAGAAGGGTGGTAGTGGACTATGGAGCATTTCTCTTTATATTTCCATTTTTTTTTTTTAGAAGAAAATTTTTGTGGGCTTAGTTTGCCTTGGGCCTTATTAGTTGTTAGACTAGACCGACCTAGAATGAGTTTTGGATTTGGACTATTATTTATGTTTTTAACCTAGTTTCCTACTTTCCTTTACCTAGGCTTTATCTCTTAATGGGTTTTAGGGCTAAATTTGTTAATGGGTTTAATAATTAGTTTCATGGGCTCACACTTTAATGCTAGATTAGATCATACCAAATCAAATTTTCTTTAACTTATGCCAAGTTGATTAGATAAACCGTTAGCAAGCTGTATATACCTCAGGGATGCTTGAGAGAAAGATATATATGAACTTTCATGCTTAATGGCACTATTAGGAAAAAAAGGGGTTTTTCGACACCACAAATTTGATATTGCATTCAAATAGTATTAAATAAAAAGTTTTAGATGCTGTACTGCAGTGTTAAAATTTATTTGGTAAAAAATATTACATTTTGACCAATTCTTTGATACTGTTATTATTTGCTATG